CTAGGCACACCCTGACATGAAGGAGTAACTCTAGGCCACCATGACACTAAGGAGTAACTCTAGGCACACCATGACACTAAGGAGTAACTCTAGGCCACCAAGACACTATGGAGTAACTCTAGGCACACCATGACACTAAGGAGTAACTCTTGGCACACCCTGACATGAAGGAATAACTCTAGGCACACCCAGACACTAAGGAATAAGTGACAGCCTCCATCGTCCTATAAAAATGCTCTGATCTGACGGGGAATTTGCATTGTCTGAAGGTGCTTTCCCCCCTCTTGCCTGGGTGCATCTGGCTGAGAGAGGTGGGACCTCCCCAGCAGCCCAGAAAAGAGGTTGGGGGCTGTGGAGGTCTCTAGAACACCTTGACGGTTTCCAAAGTGCACATTACCTATGGAGCAACAGAGGTGGGTTCTACTATCACTGAGCAGAGAAAACAAGAAAAGGGGCTCTGCTTCCTGGACACCTGTCCCTCAGGAGCCAGGCAGGACACCCCGCCCACACACCTGTGGGGGTCCGTGCTGTGAACTCAGGGTCAAAGTGGAAGGTGTCCTCAGGCCTGCCCACCGCTGGCTTGAACGGAGGCTTGATCTCCTTCCGGTACAGCTTCTGTAAGAGCAAGAACACAGGAGATTGAGGAGACCCAGAAACACCAGCACATCAGACATCTGCGGGGGGCCAAGCTGTCCTGATCACACACCGTTTCCACCGCCTTCTGATTACCTCGAGATACATATGAATATATGAACATATCATGTCATGTATTAATGTTATATATGCAACAGATGATCAGTATATGTCATAATTACAGTTATCTCTCAGTAAAATATATAAAATGAATAGTTTCAGGTATAAGTGTGAACAGTAGGAAATGGTTTGAACACATCCCAAGTATTCTTCATTTTAGGGCAACAGTTTTCAAAAATTTTTTTGCAGTAGAATTTTTTTCCTCCAAGCAGAATCCCACAGGATGGCACCATGGGCCCTGCCTGGGTGACAGTGGTGAGGGCCACCTGGCAGTGTCCTCCCTGCCCTGGGACTTTGGACCAGTACTGTAGAACTTCAGCTCTGTGGGGACACTGAGGAAAGCACCAGGCCAGGAAGGCCCAGGGGGCCTTGCCTGCCCAGCCCACCAGGCCTGTGCCCTGGGGGCCTCTGCACTTCTGTCTAGAACCTGCCTTGATGTGTTGCATGTCACATGTCAACTAAGGCACCCGAACCCCTGCTCAGCGCTGTGGGAGACCTGCGTCTACAGAGAACTGGCCTGTCCCATGGCCACAGCTGGGCCGTCTATTTCCCAGGCACTGCGTTTGCAGCAAGCACAGAGTCACAGCCCATGTCTGGAACTACTATTTTGAAAATGCTTTCTAAACCTGCCACATATTGTTTTCAACTGTCTGGAGCGACAGCCCCTTCTGTTGGGATGATTGAATCTAAGGAAGGGTGCAAAGGTCTTTGGAATCTAGCACAGTGGCATGCTCTGCCGGAGCCCAGGGCCTCTGAGCCCAAACCGGGATGGGGACCACTGGTGGATTCAGGAGCGCACACCAAGTATGGTCAGATCACTTGGAAATAGGACATGTGGGACCCAGGACTGGCCTGGCTGAGGGGGTCTTGCTGCACCACTGAGCACAGAGGTTTCCGAATCCTGCCTGGCCAGGGTCCCCCAGGTGTCTGCTGAAAACAGATTCCCAGGCCCTTTCTTGGGGCACTTCTGATTAACAGGTCTGAAGTGTAGCCCTCGAGTCGGGGACCCTGATGGCTGTCACAGTGATTCAAGTGGAAATCTACTCTAAGTCTTTGAATAACATTGGACAGAGGTTTCATCACTTTATCAGATGAGGAAATTGAGGCCACGAGAGGAAGAGTAACTTGTCCAAGGCCAAGGGTGAGTGGGAGGTACACAGGGAGGAGGTGCCATGTGAGTCTGGGAGGGGACAGCTGAAAAGGGTCCAATGGGATGGGGGGAGGAGGGAAGGCCCCTTGGGGAGAGTACTTGGGAACTGCTGGAGGAGAAGCCCTGATTTAATTCAGCCCCTAATTATCGGGTCATTCCCTGCTCTGGTGAACAGCTTTTCCTAGGAATTGAGTTGTTCTCTAAACCCTTTCCAGAAGCAGAAAGATGTTACTTTCTGTGGGGATGCACTACAGGGTGGGAACAAGCTCCCTGATGCACTTGGCAGAGGACACCTCACAAGGGTGGGAGCTCTGCCCCCCAGAGCCCCCAGGCTGCACCCAGACCCATTGGTGTGGCCATTCCCCTCCCCAGGGAGTCCCCTGTAAGCTGGGTTACTAAGTAATATCTGTCCTGTGGAGAAAGAATCCTGTGAGAGAGAGAGAGAGGGAGGGAGAGAAATGGAGAGAAAGAGAGAGAGGGCAGAGAGGGCAGAGAGGGAGATGGAGGAAAGGAGAGAGATGGAGAGCGAGAGGGAGGGGGAGAGAGGGAGGGAGACAGAGTGGGGAGAGGGAGAGAGTGGAGATACCATAGAGGTAGGCTTCCTACTTTTATTATGAGGAGGAATTTCTGTACACAAGGTTTCCATTAAAACAAAACACAACACAAAAGTTCCTGTTAATTCAAATGGGGAACGATTGTCTCTGCAAAGCTGAGCTCACACAGCAGGTTTAGGCCCTCCCATGCACCCCAACCCAGGTGCTGTCTTCCTCCACTGCCCCTGGGACCCCAGGAGCTTGAGGAAGGGCAGGCGTCTCATGCACACCCCCTGCCGTCACCGTGGCTGATATAACAGTGTGTTCAGCCAGTGTGTTTCCAGTAAGAGCCAGTACCCTGCTGGGATCTTCAGCAGCACTGGAGGGCCTGCTGATGGTCACACCATCCGGGTGCAGGCAGGACAGCCCACAGCAGAGTGCCCACAGATTCCTCGCTGCCGAGGTTGGGAAGCCCTGGCTTTGCCTGTTTCCTTCTCTCTTCCCCACTCCCTCCTGCCTTCTTTCTACTCAACCACCCCCAGTACAACATACCACGGGTTTCACCAAAAAGCAGCTGCCTATCAAGGTGACTGGACACTCTCTTGGGGCCCCTTCTCTTCCCCCATGAACTGCTGGCAAGGCTGGTGACCCTGCCAGGTCCCCGCCCACCAGTAGGGCAGGTGTGACATCCTCAAGTCACCACAATGCTGAGAAGGGTCAGGCTCTCTCTCAACCAGTGTGGCTCCAGGCCACATCTTCACCCCTGGAGCATCAGGAAGCTCACCATGGAGGCCGTCACCTTCCCACCCACCACCATGTTCTCACTTAAAGAGAGAAAGAATCTGAATCAGACCTGTCCATCAGAATCAGGTCTGTGACCCAGCAGGGTACTCTGTGAATAAGCCTCTGGGTCGAGCAGTCCATTCTTCTAACTTGTATCACGTGGTAGCAAATTAGGAGGCCCAGTACTGGGTCTCCTGCACAGCAGGACACAATGCCCACAGCTCAGCTCAGGCTCCCCCTCTGTTGGGCCCGTCTGGGCCCTGAATTGTTCCTCTGCCTGTTCTGCGCACTAGAAGTCGTCCAGGAACCCTCTGAGCCGATTTGGGTTGTGTGAACAACCCTAGCCTTACAGGGTTGCAGGTGCAAGCCTCTGCTAAGAGCCTAGGTCTCACTGGGGACACCCTGATGTGACCAAGCTGCCCAAGGGCTGAGGGAACTCTGACACAGACCCTGAGTCCCCCTGCATGCTGTGTGCTGATTAAGTCTGAACATAATCCAGGGGCCAGCAGGCCCCTGCCCCCAAGGTTGCCGCAGTTTCACTCTGATCTCCACGAAGGTGGTGAGGGTTCTGTGAAGGCCACCTCAGGCTATTGTCACTGTCGTCACTCTGGCCCTTTGGATGGCTTCCTTGATGCTTGTCAACCTTTTGGCTGGTTGCTTTCCTTGGTTACTGCCTTTGCATTGTGGAAAGTAAATTGCTAATATGTGTTATTAGGTATACACAGATTTTTTCAAACCAAAAAATGGGTTTGAGGTTGTAAGGGAAAAGTAACTTTGCTGCTGGTTTTGTAAACTCCTGGACACAAGGGTTTAAACTAAAGTGGAATAGCAGCCGTCACCTGTGAGTCCGTGGAGCTGTGTGTCAGTGACACCGACCTGCCCACACTGATGAAAGGAAAACGGGGTCTCACAGCCAAATCCAGCAGGCGTCATTGTAAATCATCCCATTTGCCCCCGGGTGCTAGAATGACAGTCTCCAGCAATGAAGAATCAGACCACATCCAGCCGTGTAGGTGAGGGAACACTGAGGGGTCCTCAGGTTTACTTGTAGCTAAAAGACCTTTAGTGAGCGAGGAAAGGCCAGAGTGGGGACACACACATGGGAACTGAGTGACAGAGGAGGAGGAGGCTGACTCCAGGGCAGGGTCAGAGGCTCTGGCACCTGCTTCTGCAGATGGCCTTAGTTGCAGGCGTTTCAGAATTCATTGCTCCCATAAAGCCAAGGGCACATTTACAGATGATTCCTGAAACTGAAATGCAAAAATGTGCAGACACAGAGAGAAGACAAGACGGAAGGAGCCGCAGAGGAATTCGCATCACTGTCGCAGCGTGACGGGCCCGGTGCACCCGTGGTCCCACCATGGGGCTTGGTCTGCATGGCTCATCAGCAACTCAGAAGCATCTGGATTCACAAATCTGCTGAAGCAAAATGTGATTGATGAGTCAAGTGGAGCCGTGTTGGTTTCCCACGAGGCCGAGCCTTCCTGCAGTGCTCTGCACACACCCAGGTGACACAGATCTTCCTGCTGCCCCAGAGACAGCCCTGTGGGGACACCGGGCCTCCAGCCCCTGAAGCCCACCTCTGTGCAGTGCTGCAGACACCCCCAGGACCTGCAGACCCAGGACTGTCCCCCTGTTCCTGCCATATCAGCAGCTGCAGCTTAGGCTGCTGGTCCCCGAGTGGCGCTGGGCTCAGTCCTCACTGTCCTGTACCGGTGTGCCCTCCAGCCTCTCCTGTCTCACAGTGACAGCCAGTGACGTGCCCAGGAGGATTTCTAAGTGTACATGCAGCACAGCAAGCACAAGCTGCTGGGACGACTCCTCCTTCACAGCAGTGATACCAAGTCACAGCAGTCACACATAGAGCTGCTCACACTGGCCATGGTCCAGGCCTTGGTTAGTGTCTGGAACAAAGATGCTGATAAGTCTCCCTTCCCCAGGGGCTGTGTGTGTGATCATGATTCTCTGCCTAAAAAAGATTTGTTCCATCTCAGGTCTCACTGCCAAGGATGCCAGGCAGGCCGGATGTGTCCTCAGACAGGCTTGTGCTCCTGCACTGTTTAACTGGGTGAAGCTTGAGTCTGTACTAACTCCACCCACAGCCTTGCTTCAGCAAAGGAAAGTAACACAGCTGACACCTGCCGACTCCACAGCCTCCTGAGGGAGGTTTCCGTCCATATTAACTTGCAAATCATTCACTGTCCTCCTCAAACTGTAGGCGGGAATGCGCTGGGCTCTGAGGGAAGGTTGGGAGGCAAAGCAGCCTATGCAGGGTGGCCATCCACACCTGTGTCCGCATGCTTCTCTGTCCCCACGCCTCTGTGTCCCCACACCACTGTGTCCCCACACCACTGTATCTCACCCTTCTCTGTCCCCACACTTCTGCCTCCCCACACTTCTGTGCCTCATGTTCCTGGGTCCCCATGCTTCTGTGTCCCCACACTTTTATTGTTGACAGACAGAATTTGCTCTCGCAGGTCACTGAAGACTTCAGGGGATAGCTGTCGGTACTGATGTAGACATAAAAATAAAAATGTCCACTGGCAGTTTTGGGTCACAGAAGGAAAGAGAAAGTGAAGTGAATTCCCCTGTATTTTCCTGGTTGGATCCTGACATGAGCACTTGGGGAAATGCCCCGGTGGAACGCAGCAGTTGGGAAATGTCTTCTCATCCGTCACTTCTGAGAGTCTGGAGGGCACAGGACACGGTGGGTATGAGGAGTTCCACACTGCGGTTTCCAGTGGCCTGAGCCACTGACACACATCTGGTAACATCTGGACAAATACATCAAGTCATAAAATCATCTATTAAGCAAACACTTGTCAACAACTTGTGTGTCAGGCTCTGCTTTCTTGAGCGTGAGTTGACAGCTTGCCTGGGTGTTCCTGGGTTTCACAGTGGCCATGAGGACACAGGGTGGCCACACACAACAGTATAGGGCAACTGAGACTCACCAGAGGGATGAAGTGAGATGGGGAAGTGACAAGGCCTTGGCACCTTTTGGGACATCCATAGTCCCCAGGTGGTGTCCTCATGCCCATAGGTCTTTGTTGGGAACCTCCCTCTTCTCCTCCAGGGGCCTCTTCAGGTTCTCTCTATTCCCGAGTTCCCTCCTGGATGCTCCTGTCATGCCTCCCTGTGCCTGGATGATGGCGTCATGAGCAGCAGACGCCCCGGTCTGCAAGCGGCCAGAGGACACTCCTCCCAACTGATACGTCATTGGCACCTTGCTCAGGCGCAACCCAAGCCAACCACAAGTATTACTTATTTATCAAACAAATTAGCCCCAACAAGGTATCCAGCTCCCCCCACCTGCGGGACACTCAATGTCCCCCCACTATCCTAGCCTCTGCTTCATCACCCTCCAGCAAGTGCAGAAATGACAGTAAGTGTGCTGAGTCCCAGAGAATCAGGCAGGGTCTCTCAGAATCACAACAAAACAAAATGAAGTACTATAAGCAATCAAAGACTCTCCAGCCTCAATTCTAGCCCGACTACTCTCAAATGACACAGGGGTGTGAGTCCAGTGCCCATGTCTGCTCCAGGTGCCTTCAGCTCCCGAGCTGCCCAGGGGTGGTGCTGGTCACTCTGGACACAGGGGTGTGAGTCCAGTTCCCGTGTCTGCTCCAGGTGCCTTGAGCTCCCGAGCTGTCCAGGGGTGGTGCTGGTCACTGGGGAAAAGGCACCTTCTGCTCAGAGCTCACAGGAGCTGGCATCCTGGAACACGTGTCACTCTAACCTCACACAGTTTCCACATCCGCTGTGCATTCCACAGAGCCTGGAACACCACTCCAAAGCCCTCTGGGACATACCCCTGAGTGGCTCCTGGCTTGGGCCTCTCCTTAGCCTCGTTCTGCCTGTTGGGCTCCCACCTGGGAGCACGAAGAACTTCCCTTCCCTCCCAGCTGCAGCCCCCTCCTCCCCACCCAGCAAGCCCTGGCCCCCATTTTTCTAGCCATGGTGTTTGGAGGGAGGGCTAGTCTGGGGCAGAGAGGGAAAGAGAACAGAGGGGACACCACTCCCTCCACAGCTGCCGCCCCTGTGCTGACACGTCCTGTGACCTTGTCTCTTATCCCTGACCCGCTCACTCGCTCATTTCCCCTCTAGGTTTCCACCAAGTCTGTCCTCTGAGCCAGGCCCTGATTCAGAGGTGCGGGTACATCTCCAGGTGGGAGAGATTCCTGACTCCTTGTAGCTTTCAGTTTAGTGGCAGGAGGCAGAAACTAGGAATAAACATCTGAAATAAATAATGAGGCAAGTAGGCAGAGGAGGTCGGGTGAGACTGAGGGAAGGAGCGGTGAGGAAGGGCCGGGGCAGGTCTCCTGGGACAGGAGGAGATGCACGGAGGGTGCGGCTCCCTGTCCTTCCCCGTCCCTCTGCACACCCCTAGAACTCCCCACACAGAGTGCAGCCATCTATGGTCAAGCCCCACAGAAGCAGGACTTCGTACTATCCACTGCTGTATCCCTAGGCCTGGAAGTGCCTGGAACACAAATGCCCAACACATAAAGTCAAATACGTGAGTACGTGAGTAAAAAAAGATAAAAAAATAACCAGAGCTGTGCAATTCCTCCCTCACTGTCACCGGTGGGGGAGGGGATGTGACACGGGGACCCCGAGTCACGTCAATGCCGAGGTGCCCCGGCCATTGTCTTAGGGTCAGCGCCCAGGTTCCCTGAGGCTGTGGTGCTGGCTGCCCAGAGTGTCACACAGGCCCCTCCTCAGGCAGCAGGCGGGTCTGAGGTCTGCTCATCACGGAAGGCGCAGTCTCCACAGAAAACAGTCCAACCCCCAGAGGGGTGACTAAAAGTGACCTTTAGCTGCTCCTCTGTGAGGCAAGGACAACCTGAGCTCCTTAAACCTGAATTTTCAGGAAAGCAAAGAAAGACTTCAGAGGAAGGCAGTGTTTTTCTTTTCTTGGAGGTCCTGTACTTTTTTTCTTCTTTTTTTGACACAACCTCATTTTTATTTGATCTTTGAACAAGAATTTTCTTTTTTAAACCTGGCTGGGAGGCCATAGATAACCTGAAATTTTACACATTTTTCTCTAATCTGACTTTTAAAAAGGAGTCTAATTTTATTAAAGCTCTATATAAAAAATTCTCACGCTTCCCCACTCTAAACGCTTTTGCTGGGGCTCAGGCTATAAGAGGAGGGGCCCTGTGGTTTGGTCCCATGCTTGTGCTAACACTTCTCAGAGGGCAGATCGGGGGTGGGGGGCTGCCTACCTGCCGGCCACAGATGTGACCTTCATTGAAAGTCATGGAGGCACCAAACTCCGGGAGGAAAGAAGACAGAGTGGGCAGGCAAAAAGATAATAAACTCTGCCTGTAAATGGCATTTTTATTTTTTAACATATTCCATTAAAATCCTCTGTAGTTAAGTTGTTAGCGCAGGAAAAAAAAAATCCCAACTATAATTGTTTGTGTGTTAACCTAAAGGCATCATGGGGGCTGCCCTCCTTCCCACGAAGAGACCAGAAGCCCTGGTTGGCGGAGGTAGCAGCAGCGGAGGGTATGGACCCTCCCAGGTTGCCACCTGGGCTTCCTGAGAAGTGAGATGCAGGGACTTCTCAGACCATGGCCAGCCTGGCCAGAGAGCTTGACAGAAGCACCAATTCATTGCCTAACAATGTGGCATTTTTAAAAAGCACGTGGCCCCTATGTGGACATGAGTGTGACAAAAGGCTGTGGATGTAACACCACAGCAGGGCCTGCCCAGCCCAACACTAGAAGATCCGGGCAGGGCAGGCACCTTGGGACTCTTGCCAGTGTGGCCCTTGCCAGTTGCAAGATGACTCCTGCTCTGGACCGAGCAGGAAAGCTCTGTCCTTGGTGAGTCTCGGCAGTGGCTGCCAGTGCCACCTTAGCTATGTCTCTAAGGGGCAGAGGAGCAAAGCTGGAGGGGTTCCAGGCCCGGGGCAGGCGGGTGGGGCACTCACTAGTTTGCGCCTCTTGGGTTGCCAGCAGCTCAGACGGGTCCTGAGAGCTCCCTGCCTGCAGGTGACTCGACTGCATTCACCTCTAAGCTTCCTGCAGTCTGCACTCTGAGGACAGTTGCTGCCAACTAGCTGTCGTGTTTGCCCCACCCCACTTCCCTGTTATTTGTGTGCAGCTGGGGACCAGGGCATGCAACTTACGTTCCAGTCTATGGTAACAAAGAAAGGATGACGCTTAATTTCCTCCACTCCATCAATGCCGGCACCTGTCATAACAACAAAGCAGAGATTATGCATCAGAACAAGCCCATGTCCAAGATGGCGGTTACCTCTGATAGCTCCTAACACAGCAGCGTGTGGTCAGTGGCCTGTCCCAGCCTCATAGCCCACCCCTAAGGGCTTGGGATGGGGAGGGACCTGGGACGATGGGCAAGAGGGTGAGACAGGCTGTCCAGGAGCTGCCTGCTGTGAGGACGCTGGACACCCTTGGACACTGGGGAAGTGCAGGAGGCCCAGGAGTGTCAGCACCAAGTGGGTCCCATGAGGCAGAAGGTGGGGAGGGGAGGTTCCACTGTGAAGCTCCCCAAGGAACAAAGAGGACTCTAGGCAGGACTGGGATCTGCAGGAAGCTGAGGCCTCCTGTCCACACCCACACACTGGAGGTTGCTCAACACAGGTGATTATCTTTACCTGAAGACTTCTGACAGATGACACAACTTTGCCCACTATTTCTACATTAAAGTCCTAAGGCCCTAAAAGAGGGGACAGAAGTATGAGTGGGCAAGAACAGGGGCGTCTTGGGGCAGGGGAGTTATTCTACTGGACACTGCCATGAGGGTGTGTCTCATCATACACCTGCCAGTCACCAGGTCATAGCATAGAGGGGGGTAGTTATTCTACTGGACACTGCCATGAGGGATGTGTCTCATCATACACCTGCCAGAGTCACCAGGTCATAGCACAGAGGGGGGTAGTTATTCTACTGGACACTGCCATGAGGGATGTGTCTCATCATACACCTGCCAGTCACCAGGTCATAGCACAGAGAGGGGTAGTTATTCTACTGGACACTGCCATGAGGGATGTGTCTCATCATACACCTGCCAGAGTCACCAGGTCATAGCACAGAGGGGGCCTAGTGTGACCCAGGGCTGTACTCAGTAACATGTCAGCACCATTCCATCCCCTGTGAGAAACAAAGGTGTAACCAAGACAGGAAACTGTGGGGTGTAGGACACTGCCATAGTTCTGTTCAGATTTTCCATGAGCTTAAAAACTATTCTGAAAGTAGCCTATTAGTTAGAAAAATAAAAATAAAAACAAGAAAACATGACCCTGAGGCTTTAGGCTACTGTCTTCTCCAGGATGTGAAGGCAGCTCGTTCCTGAGGCCAGGCTCCAACTAGGGCCCCCCCTGCCCTGCTCAGAGTTGTCCTGTGAAGCCACCTCCTCTGTGTCTCTCCTCCAAGCCAGAGCCTCTGTCCTCCTCACAGCCCCCTCTGTCCCCCGAGCCTGGCCTGAGGGAGGGCGGCTGGTGCTACAGGAGAAACCCATGAGCAGTGGGTGTGAAGGGCAGAGCAGTCACCAGCTCACCACAGAAGGGGCCTGGGAGCGGCCTTGGCCTCAGGAAGGGCCTCTGGGTAGACGCAGGCCCAGGGCCACCTTCCTCCCCAACCAGGCCGACACGCTTGTGAAGAACTGGCCTAACTCACCAGGTGGCAGTCTCAGTCACTATTAGATGGGGTTATTCATGTAATTTGCATACTTTGCTGTGAAAATACATCTATGGATGGAGGCAAGGGGATTTCTCCTCCCACGGGGACTTGGGGCAGACACAGCCTGTGTGTCTTCTCAATCCCCTGGTCATGAGCAGTGGGAGTCACTGATCCTACTTGATAGACTGAAACAGAGGCTGCAGCAGGCTGGGTGACGTGCTCAAGATCACACTGGAGGTTATAAGACTTAGAAATGGGGTGCAAAGGTGGTTCTGCCAAACTTGGCAGAAGCCCCGCTTGATCTGGATCTTCCCTGTGTGGGTCCTAGGCTGAGGCCCTTCTGCTTTTCTAAGTCTCTCTCCCCCGTTTCCTAGAAACCCTGAGCCCACAGGTCTGGCCTCAGGCCTCTGCATGGCCACCATCTGGCATGGTGGCGCATGGCAGGTGCTCGGGCACTGCTGTGACACCTCAGGGCAGCCCTCTCAGGAGCCGGCCTGCCTCTGCAGTGCCTCCTGGAACTCCTGCTGGAAGAGTCCTCTAGTCACAGCAATTAGGTGAGAGGAAAACTCGCCTTGGCTTTGCACCTCTCCTGGCTCTTTTGTTTGGAGACTGCCCTGTGTAGCCAGAAGTACTCTGGGAAGGTGGGTGATGTGGCCAAAGGCTCAGAGGCTCCAGCACATGCACCTGTAGCAAATGGCTGGGTGTGTACCTTGGAGCATCTGCCTCACACTCTGTACTCACTAGATTCCACTCACTCGTCATTGTCTGTAGGATTTAAAACAGTGAGGTGCACAGGACATGCAGGCATGGGTGTAATTACAAAGCCTTTGTTAGGATGTGCGGGACTTTCTTGGATCACTAAACTAACACATTTTTATCTTGACCGCCTTCTGCTGCAGTAAGATTCTGCAAACAGGGTCACCTGTGCACACTTGGGTTATTACTAGGGTGACCAGATTTCCAGATTTTAATATCGGTAAGGCGCTACAACATGGCCTGGGGGTGGGGCGGGGGCGGGGGCCGGGCAGGGCAGGGCCTGATAACAATTCAAACTTTGATAAGCAGTTCTCAATAATCACTTCTCAGCAATTATTTGTTATTATTACAGTTTAACATTATAAAATTAACAAAAATAATATAAAACTCATATTCTGGAGAAATAGCCACATGGCAGCCGAAAACTGTATATTCCCTTCTTGTTCTCCTGCCCGTTCGTGCTTTCTTTCCAAAAACAGGGACTTTTTAAAAAGGCCACGGGATGTGGGACAAATTGTTGAAAAGCGGGACGTCTGGTTACCCTAGTTATTACTAAAAAATGAAGGTGTTCTGAAGGGGGATGACATGGAATCGAGGGAAAACCCATGTGCTCGGTTCCTTAACTGGTTCCCAGTTCCTGCAGCAACCTGCCCAGGGTGGATGGCTACATTATTTTGGATTCTAGCCCTATTTATCTTCTCCTGAAACCTTTAAAATAGGCTATTTTGTCCTTGGCTCTCCTTTTTATCTAAACTAAATGCATTTGACAAGCAGCAGTAGGCAGAGTTCTGGACTGGGAGAACCGGGAAGCATTGATGCTGGTATCTGAATGGCAGCAACTCCCCGGAGGGCCCTGGTCAAACACACTGTGAGCCTCAGCTGTCCAGGTGGAGGTCTGCCCTTCCCCTGGGTCACAAGCACTGCCGAGAACAGGCACCGGACAGAGCCTAGAACAGAAGACTAGAATTCTCTCCTGTTAGTTAGGCTTGGAGATTACCCCTAGGTTTTCTCATGCCATGCGAATGCTAATTAAAAAGTTCAGTGGAACAGTCATTCAAGAATTCATGCTATAGTAACAATAACTCCTGGGTATGTTTGTTCTGATCACTGTGGTCTATCTCCAGATGGGGTGTCACTGAGAGCCTTTTCCAGATCCTTGTCCTAAGTCAGCAGACACAGCTTGTCCCACGGGTTTTTCAGCTCCATGGTTTGCCCAGCCCTGGGGTAAGCAGGAGAGCCAGGGGCCTTGCAACCCCATCCTCCTCTCCACGCCGTCCTCCCCGTGACACTCTGGGCCTCCCTGCACAGTCCTGGGCTCTCTCTGGACATCAAGCAGGTTACCTCCTTGTCACCTGGCACCTGCACCGGGGCTCTATACATGTCTGTTGAACAAATAAACACAAGAAACTGGGGGCTCAGACTCAGAATGAACTCTTAGTCTTTGAATGACAGTATTTTGCCTTCTGGGGTAACAGGTTGAGGAAACTAGCCTTAGACTCCAGAGCCAGTGTCAGGGGTGTTGGAAACCTCGGTTTTCCCATCTGGATACTTCTGTTATGAATCTATGTATTTGCCATTTCCTCCAGCAGTACATTTCTTTTTTCTTTTTCTTATTAAATGATAGCTGTGTACATTAATGTAATCGTGGGGTACAGTGTGTTGTTTTCATATACAATTTGAAATATTTCCATCAAACTAGTTAACCAGCAGTACATATCTATGGAGAGATTCTCTGGGGGCTCCACAGGCTAAATTCTGTCCCCCGGAATTTCCGTGCTGAAGTCCAAACTCTTTGTGTCTTAGAATGTGATTTCATATGGAACTGGGTCACCAGAGGTGTAACTGGTCAAGGTGAGGTCACACTGGCCGCTAGTCTGCAGTCTACCTCCTACCTGTGGTGCTCTGCAGACCCACACAGAGGGGATGTCTGTGTGTCATACTCGTCACTGCACCGTGATCTCCCCAAGGACCCATTTTCCTTTTATTTCATAATTTCCAGCTTATTTGCTTTGCACACTAGCTGCTCCACAGCTGGACTTTATGGAATCATTTGGAGTTTGGACGCTGGGGAGCCGGGTGAGCAGGCAGAGGTGGCAGAGAGGGGGCTTGGGGCCTGGGACCCACAGAAGGATGGGTTTGCACCTGAGGGGACCTGGCACAGAGGCACCAGGAGAGGACAGCTGCCCAGGGGTGAAGGCAGGTTTATGGGTCTTTCCAGTTCCTGGTCTGCCCTCCCCGAGCCAGGGCCAGTGCAGGAGTGTCCAGGCTGAGGGATCTGAATGGTTGGATATCAATATAGAAACCTGGGCAGATCTGGGCATGCAGCAATACTCCAAAGAGCCAGGGGAGGACCCAGTTAGAGTAGGGCCTTCTACCAAGAACTCCCCAAGTAGCCAAAGGGATGCAGGCCTGTACGTAACTCTGGCTCTGCTGGCAGGGGCATGAGAGAAGCCCCAGGCTTCAGAGGGAAAGTCCTGGCTGCCTACTGGATCAGGTCAATCTGCCAGCGTGACTTCCAACCTGACTCAGTGGTCTCCCTGGAAAAGGGGTTGGATGGTTAATAATTCTGACTGTAACTTCTTCCTTGAGTTGAGCTGGGACATCTTAAGCTACAAAACAAGAGCTGTGGAAGGTGTGTCACTCCTGGAAGCTGTGTGATAAGTTGCTTTCAATCCTATTTGAGGGTGGTCTGGGACTGAGCTGAGTGTCCGTGGACTTGTGGGGTGCTGCGGGGCTGGTCTGAGCTGAGTGCCTGTGGGCTTGTGGGGTGCTGATGGTCTGGTCTGGGCTGAGTGCCCATGGGCTTGTGAGGTGCTGCTGGTCTGGTCTGGGCTGAGTGCCCGTGGGCTTGTGGGGTGCTGCAGGACTGGTGTCTTTAAAATCACAGTCATCTCTACATCTAAGAACAAGCCCACCTATCTCACCATTAAATACTGAAACAATATTTGGGTTTAGAGTGGTATAATTTTAGTGATGTTAGGTTCTTAGGTAAAAAATTTGATTACTTAAAAAGTGATTTGCTTCCCCAGTACCAAGGGAGAAGGAACACAGACCCTTCATACTTCACACAGTCACCCAATTTACTGTGATGAGCCCTCTCCCACTAACACAGGGGCGTTTCAAAGAAAACAGTGATGAGGCTTCAGCTGCTGCAAGAGAGAATCTGGCCCGTTTGCTCTCCTGTGTGTGTTTAAACAAATGTGTCCAGGTCTTCGCTCCCCTTTCTGGCCCCAGTTACATTTCCAGGGGAAGGATGCTCAGAAACCCTTGTAAATTGGGCTCCTACAGGCAGTGAATGGGACAGCCTTGCAGAGCCCAGCAGAAGCTCCCCAGTGCATCACCTAAGAGGGAACGGCAGGTGTGGATGCACATTCTTTATGACTCTTAAAGAAGAGTCATATCTTGATGCACTTGCATTGCTAGTAATAATAATGATTTAATAAGCTTCAAGCCAAGATTCAACTGTTTGTTGTAAGGAGGTTAGAAACTGAATTAAGAAAATGATTGCAGATGATGGGCAAAAGGGAAGAGAGACAGGTGAGAAGTGGATCAGAGAAACCCCAAATCTGGTGCATATGTACTGCCTGGAAGCCTGACTTCAAGATGAAGAGATCATCTTGCTGGAACTTCACTCCTCCCCCAGCGCAACTCTGCTGTGAGGTCATGGAGCAGGCAAGGCTCAGCCGGGTGGGGCTGCCCTCTCAGGAGAGTGAGTGCTTTGGGGAGTTAGGGAAAGCAGAAGGTTTAAACCTAATTAAAGAGAGAAAGGGTCTCTCAGGACAAGATCGGGAGAAAAATGTCTCCTTTCTTCTGTCACCTTGGTACGGTCAGAAGCCTCAGTCTGTCTGAGTACAAGGCTTCTGGAGCGTTAATCGCCACCCCTGTGATTTGCGTGCGTGGCCTAACTGGGGCCAGCTTTACTTGCTGCTCCTGGACTGGGTTCCCTGTCCCATGCTCTATTTGCATTAAGGTCATAAATAACTTAGAGCAGTAATAGAAAAAGGTACATCAGTAATAGAAAAGGTAAATCAGTAATAGAAAAGGTAAATCTAATTAACATTGTTAATTAAAGAAATAGTTTGGTTAGAAAATGCAAGCCCAGGAAGAACCATGATGTAAAGGTTCAGCCGTCCCCCATTAGATTGACAATTAAAACAATGGTGTATGCAATAAAAATGGAGCCAGCCTGGAGCAAGGGGCTGTTCCATGGTCCTCATGTTTGAAGGCGGACACACTCCAGACCCAGATGCTCTCTTAAAAAAACTTTCTCTTTGTGTCACAACTTCTCATTTTTCCCTCTTCCTCTCGTCTGTGCCAGCCACTGGGAGGGAACTCGCAGCATAGGGTGGGTTGGGCCCCTGCTGCAGGCAGCATCCCAGCACCCTCACAGAGGGAGCACATCTCTCAGATACACTCATGTACCTGTAATACAAGGAGTCCACGTCTGGTTCTGCTGCTCAGAAAGGCCAAGGCTGCTCTCCTGGGAGGACTCTTGCCTTCCTCTGAGGTAGCCTGGTGAGACCCCTATAGGGAAGGTGCCTCTGACCTTAGGGCCCAGACTCATCTACTTGGGCAGCCCTGTAAAGCACAGGCAGTTTCCACCCTCTAGTTGAACTCACTTGACACAGTCCTTTTCACAGGTGCCAAGCAAGGGGCCCTAGCCAGGTGGCATGAGTGGCTGGGCTGGGCAGGACGGGGTCAGCTCTCCAGTCACTCACCTTGGTAGCTCAGTCTAGACTCTGAGATGCTGTCAGACGTCCCCCACACCCATATACACTAGTTTTGGTATTTCTGTCAGTTAGCTTTCTAGAAGTAGAACTTTCAGGTAAAAGGGTTTATATATTCAAAATTTTGACAGCTTTGCCACAATGCCGAAGAGTCTTAGGGACCTACTCTCCACCACGCTCATGTGCCCTGCACTGTCCAGTTGGTGCCTCCCTGTTCCCACTGCCATCCCTGCTGTTCCTGAGTGCTGGCTGAGCCAGAAGCTCCTCCCGCATGGCTGCTCCTGTACCACCACCTTGCTGCAGGGGGGCCTGGGGCCAAGATGCCCTGGTCTGCTAGATGGTGGGAGGGATGGAAACAGTCCTCATAGACAAAGACCCCGGGTGGAGATGTGTCACTGCAAGTCTGTAAAGGGGGATTTTTAAATATCCAATTACATGCACATTGCCATTTAAAGGCAATTATGGGAAATCTTTTTATAAAGTATCATTTTGAAAATGAATCAGTGGGAAAGAATAGTTGTATACATGATGCAATTTGGATTAGAAGAAGTTGTATACATGATGCAATTCCACTCACTCACTGGCTTCTGTCCTCCCTCTGCCCGCCCCGCCTTGCCCATCTCAGGCAGCCGTGCTCCGCAGGGGCCTGCTCATTAGTTGAATACAATAACAATCCTTAACAATATCAATTTCGTGCGAATTACTCCATATTTTAAATGCATCAATATTTACCTTTGAAATCACCTTAACTCTCTGTTTCCTAAAATCACAGAGTATACACAAATGCTCTCCTGAATTTGGAAAATATTCCTGTGGAGCAGGACAGTACTTTGATACTGGCTTCAATCTTCCGCTACAGGGGAGGTAGGCAGAGAGAAGAGTCTGACTTTTTTTTCCCGAAAAGAAGTATTTCCTGTTTTAACTTTTGCCTTCTATGAGTTTAGAGTGAAAAGAACAGTAACTGACACTAGCTCTTAGGTGTTTCACAGCTAGTTCCTGAGACCTTCCAAATTTTTTTTTTAATTAAATGATAGCTGTGTACATTAATGCAAACATGGGGTACAGTGTAGTGTTTTCATATACAATTTGAAATACTCTCATCAAACTGGTTAACGTAGCCTTCATGTCATTTTCTTAGTTATTGTGTTAAGATATTTATGCTCTAGTTTTAGAAAGAGTCACTTATACCCTTGTAAGACAGGAGACCTTCCAAATTAACCGAAAGAGTCCTCAATAAATGGCCACACACAGAGACACACAGAAACACAGATACACAGAGACACATAGGTACACACAGACATACACAGAGACACATACATACAAACAAACAGACACACACAAACACACACAGAGATACACAGAAACACAGATACACACAGACACATAGACACACACAGACACACAGAGACACACAGAGACACACACATACAGACACACATAGAGACACATACAGACATACAGACATACAGACACACACAGACACACACAGAGACACACACATACAGACACACATAGAGACACATACACACAGACACACACAGACATACACAGAGACACACACATACAGACATACAGACACACACAGACACACACAGAGATACACAGAGACACACACAGACACATAGAGAAACACACAGAGACACACACACAGAAACACACACACAGAGCGTGTAGTTAATCAGAGTGGGGGCTCACCTAGCCGGTTGCAGGGATTCCGCTTGAAGAGGGCTCGCAGCAAACCCTGAGCCTCAGTGCTGAGGAACTGAGGCATGCCCAGCTTGGCTCTGGAAAACAGTCAGACTTCAGGATAGCACTTAGGATAACAAGGAGAGGCCACAAAGAGGCCTTCCTCGGTCAGCACCAGAAGTTCCCAAAGTCACCACTCTGGTCTTAAGACCCATATTAGAAATTAAAACTGGGAAATTTTTCTATTGCTATTTAATAATTCATTTTCATAAATAATATAAATACTTGTATTAATAATAAAAATAATTTACTATTTAAAAATAATAAAAATCATTAAAAATAATAACAATGCCATTAACATAAATGATGTTATTAATAGAAATTGTTTTCTAAAACCAAAACGAAATAAAGCCTTTAGCGGCACTGTTGTGTGTTTTGGCCACTTGTGTCCCTGCTCAGCAGGAGGCAGCAGGGCTGGTCCCACTCTGCCCTCAGCTGGTAGGACGTCTGTGAAGGAAACTGAGGAAGGAGGACTCTGAAAGCCCTGAGGGTCTTGGTGTGTCCTCAGACACCTGAGAATCCCAGACACAGAGACTGGTGCTGTCCTTTCAGAAGTTCTCTGGACCTCCTGAGTGACAGGTCATGAGCCCACACCTGCGACCTGCTGGAGGGGATTATTCTAGCTGTAGAACAAGTTAAAGCTCTGTTTTCTGTTAAAATTCAAACAGAATCACCACAAACACTGTGGGCTGCCCTGTAGGTGTCTGCAGTTCAGGGTCACCCAAAGAGGAAAAGGCCGATTAAATAAAAAGGACAACACCCCCGACTTTGCCAAAGGATCCTCACTATGGGGTATCCTCCACGCACCTCCCCTTCCATTGATATGCTGACCTAATTTACAAAACTCAACTTGTAGTGTTTTGTAAACACCTTCTCAGCTTTATAAAAGGCACATGTCCATTTGCAAATAGATTTGGCAAGAGCTGGTTACCAGGAGAAGCAGCTTTATAATTTTTCCATCAAGTGGCTGTAATTCCACTCGCGCGCTGGCTCCTGTCCTCCCTCCGCCTGCCCCTCCTTGCCCATCTCGGGCACTTGTGCTCAGCAGAGGACTGCTCATGGTTAGGGAACTGTACAAGGGGGCACTGGGGCCAGGCTTCTTTCTATGAGTCTAAGAGCAAAATCCATTTGCTTGGCAAATGATTCTTCTCTTTATGAGAATTACACAGAAAATGATTGTATTCAGTCACATGGGCAAAATCATGGTAATTTCTGCCAATGTCAGCCTGCCAGAGGGCTCGGACGCTACAGGGATGGAGATGACAGGAAGGGGAATCCCACTCCTGTGTTCTCTCTGTGAAGTGTCCCTAAGTTCTGGTGCTTCCAGAAGCCTGTGCACCGTCACATCGGAAAACACAGCCACTGGACACTCTGGACTTTTACAGAATCACTCATGAGGAGCAGCTGGCCTGGCCCTTGGTCCTGTTCACCGTCAGCTGCTCACTCCCTCCTGTCGTGAGGACACTGAGCTGCCCGTCACCATCACTGCCCCCACCTACGGCCAGTCCAGACTTAGGACCAAGGCTCCTGACGCCAGCCGGTTCTGACTTGTCTCGGGGTGTCTCCCCACTACTCACTTGAGGATGAGGGCCATGGTCTCCTTCCTGTCCTTCCCCTGGAACGGCAGGGACCCCGTGAGCATCTCAAACTGCAGAGGGACAAGAGCTGTGTGAGTTCCTTTGTTCCAATGGCTCTGACTCAGCAGAGTGCCCCAGAGGGCAAGGCCATTATTCATTCAAGTCTCCACAGGTTGAGTGCAGGCACTGGCCTGCACACTTGGGGTACATCGTAGAACTGCCTCACAGGCGTACGTCTCAGTGGGTGGGAGCAATAAAGGAGAAGAACAGTAAATAATTACTGAATAATTCCTGAACAGGTGCTAAGGGCGATGCAGCAAAGCAACAGGGCGTCTAGAGACAGCGGGCAAGTGCACCTCGCGTGTGGTTCAGGCCCTGTCCTGCCTGTGGGGGCTGTGGAGGGGATGGGCCAGGAGGGAGAGGAGGAGGTGGGGGCAGGGGCAGCCAGCTCATGCTGAACTCATGTGCCAGGACCAGGCAGGAAGAGAGGCTTCCAGCATGAGGCAGATCCTAATTACACCTGATAAAACAGGGCACCACACCTGAGCTAGAATTTTATCATTAGCGGACTTCTGCAAGGATGGAGCTGGAGATGGAGAGCTGAGGCAGGCAGCCTTTCTTGGGCATGGATTTCATGAGGACCCTGGAAGCAGTTGCTGGGGATAGCACGGCCTTATCAGAACAAGGTGCACATCTGACTCCCCATGAAAGAAGTGTGGGTGGCAGCAACAACAAGTCTTTTTCATCAAAATGAGATCCTGAATGTAGCCAAAGCATCCATCACACTCCGTGCCAGTGTCAGTGCTGAGAACACAGTCCCCACATAGGTGTTCTAGGGTCTCCCTCAGGCCACTGCGCCTTGGTTTCTCACGGCAGGTGGCTCTGCCCCATTCAAATTTATCTTCCAAGTTTTTCCTCTGTATGATGAAAATCCCAGGAAATCCACAGAAGCAGAAAGACCAAAATATCATGCATAATCCCATTATCCAAAAATATCCACAGCTGGTATTTGTTAATTCCTTCTAGTACTTTGATCAAATTGTTTTGTTTTGTAGATGAGGCTTTGTATACCAGTTTTCACAGAATAATTAAATGTTCAATGCTTATTATAAAGTCTTTATATTACTTTATATGTGGATATGCCCAAACACTGTTGTATACTTAAGATGTTTCCAATTTTCTGGTGTTACAAATAATACTGAAATATACATAAGCATTTCCTTTAAATGACAAGCTTGATGAATGAATACACTGAAGGCTTCATCAGTATCCCAGACTGCTTTCTTAAAACCAAGTCTTAAAAGAAATTAAAAATCTTCTGCTGTCGCATTAGAATTGGCCTCGCACCCTGTGCACTGCTGAGTGTAGTAGCAGAGCTGAGGAGAGTCCGGGCGGGAGGACTCTGACTGGCAGATGATCTATTCACCTGATAAAATAGGATGGATGCCTATAAACTGATTATACAAATTAAAATATCTCCCCAAAGAGAATCATATTAACAAAGGGAATTCTTTTCCTATTTGGTTGTTTCTTTCCGTCTAATTTCTTCTTTCTTTCCTGAGTCTACTAATAGTGCTCATGCAATCCCATTTCCAAGGAAAAACATTCCGGCTTTGTGACCCGAGGACGTCACAAGTCCCGTCACTGCTACTCATTGCTGCACAGTGGTGTCCATCTTGGTGTCTGTGTGTCACCTGTTTATGGATGACCAGCACTGGGTGTGCATTTGTGCAGGGATGTCCTTCAGCCTCTGGCTGCAACTGTGTCATGATCAGGGTCTGCGCGCCTTGTGCCTCTCCCCTCCCTCCTCCACCCACGTGGTTCTTCCCCACACCAGTGAACATGGACGGAGCTCCTGACGCCTTTTAACCAATCAGCACCAAGGCCACACTGCAGAAAGGCATGGGGTAGGGGTGGGGTGCTAACAGGACATAGCTGCGGCTCCCGTGTGCAGCTGCAGTGCTTCCAGGAGGAGAATTTGATGCACGTAAAGTTGTGGTTCTCAACTAGAGGACAATTTTACCCCAAAGGGGACATTTTCCAATGATGGGAAACAAGGTTGATTGTCCATTGTCATGACTGGGGGTGTTGGTACTCCTGGCACCTAGTGGGGGGATACCATGGATGCCGAGAAACACCTTGCAATGCACAGGACACCCCACATCAAGAAGCCTCCCAGCCCCAAACCTTAGCAGTGCTAGAGCTGCCAGGCCCCATCTAAAGGAATGACAAGTGGCACAAGCAAGGCCAGCCTGGGGCGCAGGCAGGACACCTCTCAGGCACCCTGCAGTGTTGGAGACAGTGGGAGATTCTCCAGAGAAAGACAGTGACAGGGAACCTGAATTTCAAATTCGATGACCAATCAACATTCTCAAAAAGAAATCAAAAGCAAGTTAATATTTTAGCCTGAAAATAGACCAGAACCCTGCAGGGAAATGGACAAAGGGAGTTGCAGACTGATGCAGTGGGTGGAGCTGAGTCCCCCAAGTGCAGGTGGGTAAACTGAGGTGGTGGGTGCTGCCCTCACGACTTCCTGCTGGGGGGCTGGTTGGGGAGGGGCAGGGCTGGGCGGGGTCTGAGCTCTGCCCCATGGGTCTCACTGGGGTTGCACAAAGGCACTTGACCTGAGGGGGAAGGCCCAGAGCCTGTGGCTGAGAAACCGGAGAAGGATCTAAGATCATCTTCAAAGTCAAATTCGGAGCCCTCAGAGATGCTTTAAGTGCCCCCAAACTGGACCCAAATGTGGTCTCACACTGACTCCATGGAAGTGTGTGTCAATTCACCCAGTCTCTCTCTCTGCAGGTGATCACGAATGAGACTACTCCTCCTTCTCTATGTAAATTCACCCAGTCCCTGTCTCCACAGGTGATCACGAATGAGACTCCCCGTCCTTCTCTGTGTAAATTCACCCAGTCCCTGTCTCCACAGGTGATCACGAATGAGACTTCCCGTCCTTCTCTGTGTTAATTCACCCAGTCCCTGTCTCCACAGGTGATCATGAATGAGACTTCCCGTCCTTCTCTGTGTCAATTCACCCAGTCCCTGTCTCCACAGGTGATC